GTGTGTGTGTGTGTGTGTGCGGAATTAAGTCGAAAACCAAATCGCTGTGAGATGCCGAGCAAGAAAAATCGATAATCCACATCAACTCTATGTTCGTCCATTACACGCAGTTTATGTAAAGATAAAATATGTAGGAATAATTTTGTTTAAAATGATTTAAATTACCATGTTTCATGAATGATAATGATTAACGTGGAGTGTAATCCCTCAGGATGTGACCATGCATGACAGCTTATCAATCTTTCACCACATGGTTATAAATTTCCAATTATGCTATTGAATTTAGTCTTCTCTGAAAGTTACTGGAACATAAAAGTGCATTGGTGGGAGCGGTCGTTTAAGCAGATGACTTCTCAGATAATCGGCTGTTAATGTTCATCCAAGTTACGTACAAAGTGTTCAATGACCATTATAATAAAAAGTCTATATGTTTGTATTTATCTCACTGTTTTTCACTTATCAATTCTTCCATTGAGTTAGAAAATTAATACAAATTTGGAATTTTAAAAACTTTTGATTTCTACTTCAGACAATAAGGTAATTTTGGTCCCAAATTGAGTTCATTTCAAATTTCCAACTAATAAGTGAAGTAAATACTTTGATTCACTCATTTTTATGAAAACAACAAAAGAAATAAGAACATCACGCTTTAAATTACTCAATTTCTTTCTTATACCTCTCGAAATGTTCGATGTATAAAAATAAAATTAGCTGTTTGAATAAAAAATTAGCAATTAAAATTTTGTATTCATTTCAAATGGCAGGCGTTTTGATAGTTACAGAGAGAAGGAGGAACATGAAAGTGACAAAAAATCGAGACGGGAGGACAGAATAATGATTCACAGATGTAACAGAGACAGACAGACAGAGGGACAAAAAGGCAGGGAAAAGGTAAGACGAATACTGTGGAAGGGGTTGAATATGACATAGAGTGGGGTAATGGTAGCTTGAAGTCAGAAAGTAACTGCCAGTTAATAGACTTTTTGCCGTATGCGGAGAAGTCAACTACCAGTTAATAGACTTTGCCGTATGAATATACGTTGCCCAGGGTGCACCACGTGGAGGTAAGTCTATTGAAAAACGAATGCCGAGTGATAGAATTTTTGCCGTAAGAAAGTACGTTGCCCAGGGTGCACCACGTGGAGGTAAGTCTATCGTAGTTAACTGCCAGTTAATAGACTTTTTGCCGTATGAATATAACGAAAGCCGAGTGATAGACTTTTTTGCCGTAAGAAAATACGCTGCCCAGGGTGCACCACGTGGAGGTAAGTCTATCGCACACAAACTTCCGGTTAATAGACTTTTTACCGTATGAGTATACGTTTCCCAGGGTGCACCACGTGGAGGTAAGTCTATCGCACACCCACCAGGGTGCACCACGTGGAGGTAAGTCTATCGCACACCCCTATCTGCTTAAAAAGTTAGTTTCACTTGTAGCATGTTGTATCTGTGCCATCGAGCTCACGGATCTTCCCATCACCTACGGCCAGGTAGTGACTCACAAAGGAGACAAAACGTCAATGCATGCATGTATCTTTATTTTAGATTTTGCTCACAAATCCACTGTCCACTGGGTTTGTCTAGCATACCACTGTTCATCTCAACTCCGACCTGAGAAAAGTCATTGCCTCCTGCTAAACTTAAAAACTACTAAACCGTTACGACAATATCTCAGACAGCCTACTCAAGTAACTCCACTTGAGATGTGCACCACATTAAAGTACTTATTAGTAGCCCATGATAGAACAAAGAACACTTCGTTTCAATTGTTTTTCACCACAACCCAGATTGTCCACTCTCTCTCTCCCTCTCTCTCTACCTCTCTCTCTTTCAATACTGACGCCTGATCTTCCATCCCAATTCCTCTTTCTGCTCCGTCCTTCTTTTCCTCTCTCATTTCCAATTATTCATAAGAGCATGATTTTAACGAATTTCTTGTGTTTCCACTTGGGAAAGAATATTGTGCTCTATTTGTCCTTGGAAGATCATTGATTCTAGGAATGGATATTTCACCTAACTTGGTAGACCTCAAACCGACTGAATTAGTACCACTCTAGACTTCAAATTTACTTGAGGGTGAGATATAAAGTCTACCTATACATGCTCCATGCAAAATAAGGAAACCGATTTTGCCAAGCGAATCCTATGTTCAAACACTCTATTTTCTGAACAATTTTTCTTGGTCAACTGAAGTGTGGTTCACATTGCTCTCTCAATCATATCAACGAAACTCTACCAAACTAAGATAGCGATATGATTAAAACACGCCTAAGCACAAATTGCCCACCATGTTAATAGTATCCACACGAATTAACCGCTCTGTTAATCAACCATAAATTGCTTGACCTCCACGTTGATTTGTACTTGGTTGACTGATTTACTACTAACGACCAGTTTCAAATTTCACTCTTATTAAATAAAATCTGACTCATAACTTCACTATCATCAGTTTTCCTTAAGCTGATTTAAATCGTTTGGTTTCAGGTGGCAGTCACGCGACACTGAATCGCCCTTTCGACATTTGACAAAATCAATTTTTTCTTTACATTACTGGTAAGCTGATCAGAGTTTGAGGTAAAACAAAGTGATTCAGATTGGTCGGTAAGCAGAAGATGAGGTAAAAGTAATCAAATCAAGTTTGTTCAACTTCATTCTCCTATCTTATTCAAATTTCCTGCAAGCAAGCTTTTGGTTCGTAGGTGATTCAAGATTCCGGTCTACTAGTCATACACTAAATGACATTTTGAACTAATTAAGCAATGAAAATGTGAGCATTTGGCTTTATTCAATGAGCCGAAAGCGTAATTCCAAGCAACCAGTTGGGGCAAAAACGCTTTAATGCGATCTAAGATGTAGCGATTTTAGTGCAACTATATCAATTATTGTGACTCAACTCTAAAATCCTAAAATTTGAATCATTTCCGTGTTTAAATTACTTCAGGTATTTGGTTGAATTAATTCTATTATCAAAGGTGACAAAATATTTGCCTCAAGTCCTTCAATTACAAATGCAGAATGTAAATGCGTACATGTTTCGGTCCATAGCATCCGAGTCTGGTTTCTGACCTCCCGTTTAAATCTCAAATACTTCACAAGCGTAGAAGATCCCAAGAAAAGGAGGAGTTATAATTGAAGTTATTTTGAGAAGTGCAAATTTTCTCCAAAACAGTGACTTCTTAGCTTATTGCTTCAGAAGCTACTGTTGACCAGATGAGTGAATGCTTACAGGGTCATCATCATCATATTTTGTGATCTGGTTCGAGAGAGGGGAATAGAGTTGAGGCGTTGGAGAAAGAAGGAAGTCCACTCCCTAGCCTCCGCGCGCATATTGTAAATGGATTACATAAACAGTTGAAATCTCTGCCGAAACTGAGACCTGCTGACGTCAATTCAATGATCGCCTCATTAGCTTATTCAGGAAAATTTAAATAAACCTATCAATTCACTACAGTCAGCTTGTGGTTTCAGCGCGGTTAAGCGCATTTTAATTGACACCGTGAGGTCAAGGTACTTTGGCCTCGAAAATAAGTGATGACAAAGATAAGTATGAGTAAAAGTTGCCCAGACTGCACCACGTGGAGATAAATCTGTCACACCCAGCTAATTGATACTATTGAATGCGAGGAATATAAGAATGACACTCAAGTTTGATTACATAATTGTCCAGGGACGATTGTGTTGCGTCACATTGCCTATTGTTCATTGGCCTCAAGAGTCGATATCCCAGTAACAAGTTACAAATCACCTCCGAAGTGGCCTTCATGATAACACCATGGAAAAAGTATTTAAAAGCAATTAATAAGGAAGACTGATTAAAAGGTAAATAGAAAGAGATAAGCAAAATAGCTGCATTAATTTAAGATCAGAAGAACTGAAATAATAGAGATATGTTGACTTCAATAGAGAGCATTACAAAATGTTGAAAATATAACCTTGAGATATGACGTTAAGGTGAAAAAAGAAAAACTACTATAAACAAAATAATTATTGCTTACTTACTTAAATATCATCAGAATTGGAAAGATATTTCGCGCATTTTTGCAAACGCGCGCACGTGTTTGCATTAATTAAGGGAATAATTGATTAAGCAATAATGCGATCGATAGACACTAATTGTCAACATGTAAACTTCATAAATTCGCTGACTTTGCTGTGAAATGTTGTCTTTTCCAACTGGTTCTCTCCATGCGTATTTGCTTCTACTTCGAGAGTTGAAGCTATTTAACGCTCCCTTCCACGAATCATTGTCCTACTTGAAGCATACCAACCCACACTTATACTACCGTTTCCTTTCTTACTTTCAGAATACGACAAGTCTTTCCGACTTAAGAATGCCCCTTGAGAAGCCTTTTTCCGTCTCCGTCCACGTACCCAGAGACATTCCAAATCTTGCTTGGTCTTTTCCAAAGAGAACACCTTCACACCTCTATGGTATCTCTCTTTCTCTCTTTATTTTCTTCATTTTTTCATACATTCATCCATTCATTCATTCTTTGTTCCACCTCTTTTTTATTCTCTTATCTTCCATCTCTGCTTTCCTCGTGCCTCCCATTTTCAAATTTACCTATATATGTCGAAGGTGGGAAACCGATCTACATGGTACGAATTGCAGTATTCCACATGTATTGGGTATTTCCATCTAACTCGTGGTTATGCTTTAGATAGTGTGTTTAGCAGTGAATGGGTGGAGGGTTCAATGATTCAGGTCTCATCTGCCATAGCATTCGTTCTATTTTTTATAAGATCCAGCCTATTATGGACTATTTGGAGCATAAATCACTACAGGAGATCTATTTCAACTTGTCTTTAACATGCAGATTCTCTTTCAATCTCCTGTAAGATACAATGTTCTCGTACTGTTTTATTGTATTCAATTGTAGAATTTGTATGGATTGGATAGTTGAAATGGAACTTTTGGAGAGAAAATTGGGTGAGGCGGTGTGGGGTATACGACGTCTGATTGGTGAAGATGAGTCAGTGTTTACGTCTTTTGATGCTCCCAATTTGGAGCTGCATTTTGGTGAGGCACCTTCCTCCTCACACTTGACTCGGGTCTTCCAAAGTTGGATCGATTGTTGCAGTGGAGAACCATGTCCTTCCTCAAAGTCCTGAATTGGGGTTGGAACAGGAGATTCTTGACAGATACATTATTCGTCAGTTGGCTCAACTTATTGACAAATTAAGTTGGTGGATTGGTTGCTAATGGACTGAGAGGATCTTGGCACGTTCAAGTTCTTGGTGAGTGAATTACAATAGCTGATAATAAGGTTTACGAATGTAATGAAAGTGGCGNTGTGTTGGGAGTTCATGGGAGGAAGCACACAACTGAAGAGCAGAAGGAAGGATAGAGAATTGGGTATTTAAATGCTAAAGATCGTAGATGGCCTTCCTCAATTCAGAACTTCCAGTTTCCACATATACTAAGGAGACATATCACGATGGCAGACTTGTGAGTGAGGAGAGATAGCGAGAGAGAGAGAGAGAGAGAGAGAGATAGAGAGTTGTGGAAAGTAGTGCTAGTTAAACGTTACTTTTGAGTGCTTGGAAGCAGAGGTATGGAATGAGGTTTACCAGAGTAGTCAGATGCAAGAGAGGCTGAGAAGACATGTGGTCAGCGTCTCTCCCTTTCACTAACATAATATAATNTGTGTTGGGAGTTCATGGGAGGAAGCACACAACTGAAGAGCAGAAGGAAGGATAGAGAATTGGGTATTTAAATGCTAAAGATCGTAGATGGCCTTCCAGTTTCCACATATACTAAGGAGACATTTAACGATAGCTGACTTGTGAGAGAAAAGATAGATAGAGACAGATAGAGAGTTGTGGAAAGTAGTGCTAGTTAAACGTTACTTTTGAGTGCTTGGACGCAGAATTGTGGAATGGGGTTTACCAGAGTAGTCAGATGCAAGAGAGGCTGAGAAGACATGTGGTCAGCGTCTCTACCTTTCACTAACATAATATAATACATATCATAATATATAATTGTTTGAGAAGCAGATTATTATCATTACAGAACTGACATCAGAAGAATTATCAGCCTTATTTTAACCTTTAACCCATATCAACAATAATGAAAATAGTAGTATATATCTCAATTGTGACTTCCTTATAGAAGATGGAGAGGAGAAAGATGTGGATTCAAAGGGAGAAAGCATTGAGAAGATGAAGGAAGGTGAGACAAGGCCGACGACAATTGCCATGCTCTTCGAACCTCCTCCACCACCAATCAAGTCCGACAGTCTGCCCACCATTTCTGTGACCCTAATGAGATCAAGGAGGATATGTGGTAGGTGTTATGGCTGAGTTAAAGAGATGAATAGGCGATAGTGAAGGATAAATTTAATTCCATACTCAGAGTTGGCAAATTTTCAAAATCTCCTCTCAGCCTAAACTTGAAATGCAGTAATTCATTCAAACTTAGTCAAAATTTTTAATAAACAGAGTTGATTTCTGTGCTTTGAATTAGTCTCCAACCGCAGATATATGTGAGTATATATTTGAATATTGGAAGCCACAAACTATCTAATTGGAAATTATATCCCTGTTCAGATCTTCCTTGGTATGACAGGGAAGTAATGGGTTCCGAAGCTCAATACGTTCTCTATGATGATGAAGAAGCCACAAGTGGGACGATCTGCGAAAGAAGAGGTGGAGTTGATGTTGAAGAGGATGAGGATGAGGAGGAGGAGGAAGAGGGGTCAAGACGCAGAGACCTCCGAGGAACATTCGAAATCAAGAGGCTGAGTGATGAAAAGCTGGAATATGGAATGGAGCCTGAGAAGACGTGTTTGAGAGAATCCACACTGCCTCACTTCATTCTCAATTGTTCGTGTGAGTCAGAAGAAGAAGACGAAGAAGAAGAGAAAGAAGAGGAGGAGGAGCTCACCACCAATTCTCCACACCCTTCTATTCTCGATACTGAAGGTATGAGCTCTCGACTTGTGACTAATTCGTTGAGAATTTGTCATTGACTAAAAGGATAATTTGGGATTTCATGTGACTTGGTTTTGTGTTTTTCCTCTACTAGTTTCTGCATCCACCACTTCACCGTCAACCACACGTCGTCAATGGTTCAAGGGTTTGCGGAGTCGTCTTCGGCGTGTTTTCCTGTGTTGCAATGCAATCGAAGAGGACTAGATTCACCGATTCCCTATTTTATTGACTTTTCTGATTATCCTACAAATAGATATCTACAATGATTTGTCTCCTTACATGTTCTCTTCTAACTCGTCAATCGATTATAAAACTGCATACTATGCTACTTAATATTGATTAGTCTGCGCCAGCCACATCCCGTTTGCCAAGTGAATGGAAGGTGCTTTTAAGGAATGCTTTCAGCTTTGGTTTCTTAATGGCAAACCAGGTTTCAACTTTGCAGTGGAATCTGTGTAAGTCGCTCTCTTCAAGGCTTATGTGCCTGTGTTTGGGTAAATATTGTAACTTAAATGAGAAATTTGGCCCTCTAAATGAAGTATAATATTGCTTGGAAGTTATTGGGGGCATAGGGAAATGAGGTAGCAACCAGGCGCGTCATGTTGATGGAGGAAGGAGACAGTTGCTAACGCCAGAGTTCATTAATGCGAACCTCGAAGAAGGAATCAACCAATCAATGTGCTCTCCACTCAGGCCCCCCCCCCTTCCTCCCCACCCCCACCCCATTTGCACTGCATTTATCTGGGTAGGAGACTCATGAGTACTACCTAAATGTGCTGAGATCAGAGGACAATGTGAAATTACTCGCTTCTCACACATTCCCCATAACATCAACGTTAAATGAGTCCATTTATGGCATCAGGGTACGTTTTGAAGTGATGGGAAACAGATCTCCAAGGTGTACTCATCTTCAATCGATTTCCACTTCTTCCCACCTTATCAGTTGTGATGAGGGTGCGATGAGATGATCATGAATTGATGCTGTTGGCAGTGATGTCAGGTGAAGAATTACATTTAGAACACCTAATTGGGGAGATGTGTGAGTTGATATTGGGACAGCAGCACAGATTGGAGTGGAATTAAATAGAAATAGAGGCACAAATTTTGGGTTAATTCCAGGGAGTGGGTCATTTTTAATGAAGTTAGTAGTAATGACTAATATCTATCAGCCATCTTCCTTCAGATTGGTTCACTGGTGTTATGCGGAAAAGTTGCAGTCAGGTATACACTTAAAGGTTAATGAAAGGCATGACAATATTTGCAGCGAGAAAAAGTGACGATTGAACTCTCAAGGGAACTAATGGGGATGCGATCAAAAAGATGCTATGAGTAAAGTCAGGGTGACAACTGAGTTGTACCTGTTAATGAAAGAGCACTTAATGGACAGTTCACTTCCTCACATTTCAAATTCCATTTCCCACTACTACCACTATTACTACTACTACTACTACTATCACTTCTTGGACGGTTCATTGATAATAGCGATCTATTCTCCTTCTTCAGTACATTTTGACTTATAAGCAGTCTCTGGGCAATAAAGCTTTCAGAACTGATTTAATCATACATCAGATATGTAACACCATATTTGTTAATACTCTGGGCTTTCATGTCACTTTAGAGGTTACAGTTTTTCAACGCTTTGCATTAATCACCTCCAAGTGTTGTAAATCTAATGATGGAGATAATTCGCTTAATATTCATGCCTCTTCTCCATAAATGTGCATTATCGAGTGTTACTTATGGGCACGAGTCTTACAGTCGATGTGTGTGTGTGTGTGTGTGTGTGTGTGTGTGTGTGTGTGTGTGTGTGT